CTATAGCCTGTTCCTGCAGGCTTTTCAATGTAAAAGCTGCCTAGAGAAAAGCCAGTGTTTACATTGCTCCCTAGTTGCACCTCTAGTGGCAGTCATTCAGATGGTCACTAGAGGTGCTTCCTAGTTAAGTGCTGCGACGTTCAGCATCTCCACGCTCTACATGGAGATGCTGAACATTCCCCATAGAGATGTATTGATTCAATGCATCTCTATGAGGAGATGCTGATTGGCACAGTGTGGCGTTTTGCGCACATGTGCAATAGCCTCTCAATGCTTTCCTATGGGAAAGCATTAGATTGGCTGAGATCATAAAGATGATCTCAGCAATGGAGGCGGAGCCAGTCAGGGCACGTAAGACTAACGGAGCATGGGAGAAAAGGTGAGTAAAATCACTTTTTTTTTACGGTACACGTAAAATCACTATTTTTCCGGCACATGGCATAACGTCACACACACACGTATAGACACTTCCCGCAAATTAAATAGACCTGTGAGGAAGATGAAGTATATATGTACCTGCAGGTCCTTTAACAACCAGAAACCTAATTATGTATCTGGCTCTCTTGCTGAATCGTCATTTAACCACCCATTTCTGGGGGTTTTCCACAATGTATCCTTAACCAATATTTCTTCCTTTATTTTTTGGAGATGGATCAAGGCCAGTGATCCCTAAGAATTGTGTACTGATTCTTCTATGAATACTTTTTAATCTCAAGAGATTCACATTAGGGCTTCTTCTCCTTTAGTGGGACACTCTAGACACAAAACCATTTCATCTCACGGAATTGTTTTAGTGCTTGGAGTACACAGGTGCTGTTTTGCCATGCACTTTTAAATAATTTGTAAGCAGTTTAAAGAACCACTATAGGCACCCAGACCACTTCAGCTTAATGAAGTGGTCTGGGTGCCAGGTCCATCTTGGATTAATCCTTTCTGCTGTAAACATAGCAGTTTCAGAGAAACTGCTATGTTTACCTATGGGTTAATTCAGCCTCTAGTGGCTGTCTCATGGTAAGGTAACAGGTAAGATTTAACCCCTTCCACCCCCTAGAGCCCAGCTGGAGGGGGGCCCTGAGGGTGGGGGGGACCTAGAGACCCATTAGTGCCAGGAAAATGAGTATGTTTTCCTGGCACTATAGTGGTCCTTTAACACTGAATGAAGATCCCTGGCTTCCCATAGCATCGCCCCCATTGGAGGTGTGTCCACGGCAGAGATTACACATTTCCTTAGTCATACAAATTCATACCAGCACCGTGATGCTGCTCATTAGGATTCCTCAGTCCAAGCAACTCAGAGGGGATGGGTTGTTTGGGACTCTCATTTAGCATTAAACCATTAAAAACAATTTAACACTTAATGGAAAGACAGCACCAGGGAACTCCAAACACTTTAATAATTTCAATGAGATGAAGCAGTTACACTGTCTACAGCATGGGTCGTCAACCTGGTCCCTACCGCCCAGTAGTGGGCATTTCAGGATTCCAGGTGCGCGGTAGGGATTTCCTCAATTTCAGAGATTGGGAGGGCGGGTGCGAGCCAGCGGTACCCCTGCGACCGGTATCGCCATCACCATTTGCGGCCCGCGCGGCAAACCGCCGGGGCCGCAGTCCAAGGGGTCCATCGGGTGGCCCATGCTGTCAGGGCCACCCGATGGATGTGGATTTTAAGGGGGCCCGGTGAGCGCTGAGCGCTTTAACAGCGCAACCGAGCACCCTGTGATTACATCACACGCTGGGAGGAAGTGACTGCACGTCACTCCTCCCAGCTAACACACAGACCGCGTGGGAGGAAACAGAGGGAGTCAGAGTGGGAACTCTGACTCCCATCCACCTGAGTCACCACTGGACCCCAGGGAAAGTCACCCTCCTGCACCTAAAAGGTAAGAAACAGGAAGGTGACTAAAATAGTTTGTGTGTGTTTGTTTGTGTGTATATGTCTTTGGTTGTATGTCTTGTATGTATGTGTCTGTATGTGTGTGTATGTGTCTTTGTATGTATGTGTGTCTTATGTATGTGTGTGTCTTTGTATGTATGTCTTGTGTATGTGTCTGTCTGTATGTGTGTATGTATGTGTGTTTTGTCTTTGTATGTATGTGTTGTGTGTATGTGTCTTTGTATGTATGTGTGTCTTATGTATGAGTCTTTGTATGTATGTGTCTTTTGTCTGTCTGTATGTGTGTGTGTCTTTGTGTGTATGTCTTATGTGTGTGTATGTGTGCCTGTCTGTTTGTATGTATGTGTCGTGTGTGTGTGCCTGTCTGTTTGTATGTATGTGTCTTTGTATGTGTGTGTGTATGTGTGTCTTGTGTGTGTGTGTCTGTATGTATGTGTGCCTGTCTGTTATAGTGGGCTGTAGTAAGTAATAGTAAGTGGGCTACCTAGCTCAGCCTTCCTACTGGGCATTGCTATAAGTAAGGTTATAAAATAGAAAAAAAGGGGGGAAAAAGGTGGGGAGGGGAATTAAGGAGGGAGAGGAGGGGAGCTGACACACAGATGAGAAATCATATGCGCAAACAGAGAAGTTGTCTGAATATCACCAAAAGAGGAGACCTTCGTTTGTTCCTTACGAAAATCGAACCAGATATCAAATATTTAGTCTCGCAGCATCAACCTCAAGGATCTCATTAATCACTAGTAAAGGTAATTTCAATTTACTTTATTGTTTTTCTCATTAAACTTTATAAAGTTAAAAACATTATAAACATGCATTAAGTAGAAATAAAAAAATAAATGTACGTACATTTATTTTTTTAAAAACACCCTCCTTTCTAAAAAATATTCCGCACTTGCGCGAAAACTGGTGGGCAGTAAGGAAATTCTTCCATCAAGAAAGATGCATTAGCTTATCATGGGAGACGTCCCGGACTGGACCGCGGAATTGGCCTTGTTACACATCTCCACTCAACCCATCTCGGTGTACAAGAAGTCGATTTTACGACACTTGCTTAATGCCGCCAAAGCGAACATCCCGGCCCATTGGAAGTCGACCGCGGTACCGACTAAACAGGAATGGATTCGCAGGGTGGAAGAGATCCAGGGGGCAGAAGAAGCCCATGCCATCATCACAGGCCGAGAAGCCAAGCATGCTGAAATGTGGACCCCGTGGTTCTTATATATTGCCGAACACCGACAGGAAGCGGACGCTCGAGGAAGTGCTGCTCAGGTTACAATGCCCCCCCCCTTTTTAACTTTCTCCTCTCCCTCTATGTAATGAGTCGTCAGGGGTCCGGTCCGCCTGGGATCGGGACTGACAGGACGAATACAGGACAGGTAGATGACGACATACATATTATGACAGACATTGACACCAACAGATAGTGACTCTGGACTCTGGCTTGATAAAGGATCCTGGAACCTGATTGCTAACCCCATCACTAGGGAAGGGTACTGCTCTGGTTGTTCCTTGAATGGAACGCGACCTACACCGTATCACTCGACGGATAGGTACCGCTACACGTACATGTAACAGAGTTAGTCGCCCCCGATAGGGCACAAATATTGATGCGATCATACGGCACGGGGACTCTCAGACGGCATGGGGATAGGGAAATATACCATACAACTCTCGAGCTCTGCTGCAGGTGGTGGTCACGGGGGAATGGTCGGTCTCTGCTTCTAACTTGGATCTTGGGATATGGTTACTCACAAGAGGAGATAATGGGTGGGGGCATTAGGGTCGGGAAGTGACAAGGAATGGGCTGATAATCACAACGGAAAAAGATACTTAAGCGCCATTGCACACACAGAAGCCCATCTCATACGCATCCACGATGCGGAAGAAGTCCCAGCCCCGACCCTGTAGCACACACGCCCGACTAGACTCGACAGCACCCCTGACCATAAACCATCACCACTCTGATTTCCCTGACTCGAATCGGCAGACCCTCACCACGAGACCAAATAGCCCCCTTTCCTATGACATGGTGTTGTATGACTTAACCTATGCTTCCTTGGGGGGCGAATGTACATAAGTTAGGTTCGCTTTACCTAAACCACACGGACTACGAACACGAGCGCTGCCTGACTCCTGAGTGGCCACACGTTGAGAATACACACATGTACATAAATTCTTTGAACTTGTTATAGCTTGGTGTATATTCCCTTCTCTTTTTGCTTACAACATATATACCTGTATCGCCCGCTGTGAATGTGATAAGTAATGTGGTACGTTATGAGCACACACGTATCTGTGTCTACATATATGGATACACTATATTAGGCCGAAGCACTCCCACTGCACCTTTTCACAGGGGATAGATGTCACAATGCATATACACAGCCAAGAACTCGAAACCTCAAACCACTTCACGACATGTTATGTTTGCTTGCATTTCATTGAACCTTGAACCTTAACGTTTATCCTTTTGCTATCTGAAATATTGCATCTCTACCTGGCCTGCGAGCCGACTTGATATCACTGTTATACTTCAATAAACAGATTTTCAAAAAAAAAAAGAAAGATGCATTAGTGGGCGGTAGGTAGAAAAAGGTTGACTATCACTGGTCTACAGTGTCCCTTTGATATGTTTGTGAGATGTGTATGAGACATATGATTATACAACTTCATATACCTCGATTGCATTTGTTGTAAAACTGTTTATAAAACTGTAAATATATTAAATAGAAAAAAATATTTAAAGGATCACTATAGGGACAGGAACACAAACATGTATTCCTGACCCTATAGTGTTAAAACTACCATCTAGCCCCCCTGGGCCCCTCATGCCTCCATAAATATAGCAAAATCTTACTGTATTCAAGCCTGAAGCTGTAGATCTGCATGCTGTTTGCCTCAGAAAAAAAAGCTGTCTGCTGACATCATCAGGAGTGGTAGCCTGATCCAATCACAATGCTTCCCTATAGGATTGGCTGAGACTGACAAGAGTGAAGATCAGGGGCAGAGCCAGCATGATTCAAACACAGCCCTGTCCAATGAGCATCTCCTCATAGAGATGAATTGAATCAATGAATCTCTATGAGGAAAGTTCAGTTTTTGCATGCAGAGGGAGGAGACACTGAATGTTTGGATGCATTTAGACCATCTGAGGAGTGGCCAGTGAAGTTATCACTAGGCTGTTATGTAAACACTGCATTTTCTCTGAAAAGACAGTGTTTACAGCAAAAAGCCTGAAGGTAATGATTCTACTTACCAGAACAAATTCAATAAGCTGTAGTTGTTCTGGTGACTATAGTGTCCCTTTAATTTCAATGCAAATCTGTCTATCAAAGTGTCAGATAGTATAATAATAAATATATGGCATTCTACCAATTTGGATACGAGTATTAATATTTTGGGCATTGGATTGGAAGGAAGGGGTTATTTGTCAGTTAGGTGAACAGGACTTTGGAGACCTTTTACCATATAGCTACTAGGTGGCCAAGACATGTCTACGACAGTTCTGAGAACTGGAAACACTTTGTCCATTATTAGAATGCCTAACTATATGAAGGTGCATTCTCTCCACCTCTCTCAAAGTTCCTGGATTGGTATTTTATAATATATGAAGAATATGACAATACATTTGACAAGAATTATATTTATTCCTTTGAGGAAGGAGAGCACATTTTTAAATACTGGAGGTATTTATAAGATTTTTTTTTTGTAAATCTTGCATGAGAAGAAGTAGAAGTTTTTAATTTGGTCTCTAAGACTCACTTCTTCATTCAATGTGTAAGAATTTACTATATGTATTTTATTACACTGTCCATGAATGTTTTTCAATATTGGGTAGCAGAGGTATTATGAGAATTGTATGGTACCACAAGAAGCAGAGCGAGAATCATCTTCGTAAGTCAATTTGTCCATTTTTTATGTGGACATTTACTCTAGTTTATGATAATTCCTTGCAATAACTGGAAATTCAATATTTTTACACAAAAAAAGTTCTACACTTTTCAAATAATGAAACTTCTAAATAATTCTAGAGCAGGTTTTGTGTTTGCTTTTTCTCTATGTCTTCCTGTGTTTTTCCTTTACTTAAAATCTGTTTTATTTTATTTTATAGAATCTGTTTTGTTTTGTTTTTTTATAGTAGAGGCTGTGGAGGTCACCTTCTTCAACTTTGGTATTTTGTCTTTCTTCTTTTCCTTCAATGCAGATTTGAATGACAGTTCTTCAGCTGTCTTCTTGACTGTGTCCTTGAGATTGTTTTGTTTTGCTTTTGACTTTAAGATGTAATTCTTTGTTTTTAAATAACCAGGTGAAGTAATTTGCATTTTTGCATGAGAAGTTGGTGAGGGCTTCTTTGTAGGCTTAACCTTTATTGATTTGATTGCGGTTTTAGGGGATTTCAGTAGTATCTTAGGTGGCAGCTTGGGTTTCTTACTAGTCCTCGGTTTCTTTGTAGACGATTTCAATATCTTAGATGGTGGCTTAGGTTTTTTAGTAGTCGTGGGTTTCTTTGTAGCAGTTTTCAGTAATGAAGATTTAGTTTTAGAAGATTTTGGTAATGTCTTGGGTTGTTGCTTGGAGGGTTTAGAGGTTCTGGGCATCAGTGTAGTTGTTGAAGCTATGGTGGATTTCGGTATAATCTGCGGTGGTGTAATTTTTTTACTAAGAATTTCAATGACCGTTCCTGAAACCATGAAAAAGAAAATTTTAATTAAAATGATCAAAAAAAAACAAAAAAAAACTAAATAATCTAGCTCTAGATCTGCTAAGTTTCTTTGCTATACAAATAGTTTGGTGCAACAGCTTAATTTAGCATATATAAGACAGTATAAAAAGAGAATATAAGAATATATAAAATAAAAAAGTACAGTTCAAGCAATGTATATCTTCACAACAACTTGCTATATAAATGTTATTGCTGTATGCACTTATTTGTTTTCTTGTAATTATACTGCAATTTTATATCTTGCGAAGTTGACTTCAAAAGTGTGAAGCCATCCTTAATTAAATTTTACATTTTTCATATTGATTGGAATATCTACACACAGCAGAGCAATTTGGTAAATATTTATTACCGCCACCCAGTCTAATTTATCACTCCAGCTTTTATTCTTCTATGGTAGCCCTTACCATCTATCAAACGTCTACTGCAAATTCCTAAACTTCTCTGATCCCAGCTTGTATTCCTGTTTTTTTACCTCTATATTCAATAAGTCCCCTCTTTTTCTGAAATGCTCTAACTTCAGTTCCCATTTCTTTGTTACATTTTCCCATTCCAACTTCTTTCCGCTATTATTTTATCATGCCAAATGTCTCTTATCCCAACTCCTCTTCCAGTGTCCTGTCTCCCACTCAGCAACTTGTATTCCATCTGCTATGCCTCTTTCTTTTGAAGCATCTCACTTTAATTTTATGGCAAGACAGGAGGCTTCATATTTGCTTTAACCTTCTTTACTGAACCTCCCAGCAGCAAAGAAATAGTTAAACATATAGAGAAAAAATCAACCAATCAGGACACATCTTAGAACATAACAGTCTGTCAGGCTCCTCCCACTTCCTCTTTCTTTGCTGCTTGCCTCCCAGGTGAGCCTTATTTTGTTTTTCCATAGATTTTTTTGACTCCTTTAATTAACTTTCCCTGTCAGTTTTACTCACATAAGGTAATGTGTGTGTTTATTTTATCTCTGCCCTTTATCACAACGACCCTTCTCAGGTCAGCCCACTGTCCAGTTCCTTCCCTGTGACTTTATTTATCTCTGACTAAAGTAAAACCTTACTAATCTTTTTCCTTGATGAAATTATCTTCAGACCGTGCCACTGCAGTGGCTGCGGTCCGTTTTGATCATGCCCGCGATCTATTTCTGTACCGTCCGTTTTTTTCGTGTCATTGATTGACACGCAGTTTTCCCGCCTTCCTCCTTCTTGCCGGCGACCATCTTCTGTTCGGCGGTTAAATTTCCCGTTCGCGCGCTTTTCAGGAACTGCTCTCTGTTACTGGATTGCAGCTCTGTTAAACTATGAGTATTCATTGCCCCCTGCTTGTTGTTGACCCCCTCTTGCCTCTTTTATTGAGGGTAATCCCCTTGTGCCTCTTTATTGAGGGTGACCCCCTCGTGCCTTATCTCTCAGGGTGAACCCCTTATATATATTTTTATTGATTGCACAGGTTAACCCTGTCATTATTATATTGACAGTTTAACTGCCATAATTGTGGATGAACCCCACTGAGTCCCCGTAAAGGTGACTGCATATTGTCTGGGTGAACCCCAATAAGTCAGCCCCTGCTTTTACTTTGTTTGTGACAAGTTTGTTTATATTTATATATATATATATATATATATATATATATATATAAATTATAATAATAAATAATAAATAATAAATAAATAAATAATAAATAAAAAAGTTGGTATACTGATTCTGTGGTGAACCCACTACGATTTTACTGGTCATCATGTCGGACCAACCAGAACCTGCACTGTCAGCAGAATTAAAAGCCTGGCTTCAAGCTGCAATTGCAGACTCTATCCCCAAAGCCTTGGCAACGTTTCGTGACCAGACAGCCACTACTGCCACCATCACGCAATTGTCAGACTCGCATGATTCCAGGGTCTCTGACCATGACGAAGCCCCACGTAAGCGCCCTTGGAAGGGTAACAGTGCTTCTGCTGGCAAAGGCAAAGCCCCAGCAAAGACAGCTAAATTGTCTCATGCCAACTCACTTTGACTTCAGAATCTGACCCCTTAAAGGGTTCAACCTCTGGCTATCACTTTTGAGTGATAGACGAATACAATGCATATCTAGATGAGGATCTCCCAGGTGACCTTTCCTCTTCTGAATTTGTTACGGAGACTTTTCTCCTACCCCACAACCAGTAGTGATCCTATGTCCACTACTAATTTAGACAGTACTAAGGACGATATCCTACTGGATACCAATGGTTGTTCTCTATTTGACCCACGCTGCATCAGACACCCTCGTTTCAGCAGAATGGACACCCCCTGATCACATTGGCAAATATTGCAGATTATGGCTTTGTAAACCTTTAGAAAAGGAGATTAGAGCCAAATTAAAAGCAGAATGTCCACGGCCTATAATCCCTGATAAGGTGGCTGTCACCCCTGAACTTGACCCACTCCTGGTCACTTTTCTAACTAAGACGGGTAAAGATCCCCGCAAAGGAATCAAAGTTGGCTTAAAAGCCACCCAAGACACCCAAGCTCTCCCTTACTGTACCCTACCCCGAATGATATGTAAAAATTAAGGCAAACGCTGTAAACTGTCAACTGTAAACACAACCTCGTTCTGTCTTTTGCTTGTAATGTATAATACGATGGTCAAGTAATTCCATGACAAAAATAATGTACTGTCATAACGATGAGAACGTGGACGACTGCATTCTACGAAGAAGTAAGTAGAAGTATAGATCAGGGTGTTGCAGTGGATGTGATCTACTTGGACTTTGCCAAGGCATTTGATACGGTTCCTCACAATAGGTTAGTTTTCAAACTAAAAGAAATTGGTCTTGATGAATATTCCTGTTCTTGGGTAGAACATTGGCTTAAGGACAGAGTACAACGAGTTGTCATTAATGGTAAATTTTCAGGCTGGACAAAAGTGGCAAGTGGTGTCCCTCAGGGTTCTGTTTTGGGACCACTTCTATTTAACATATTTATAAATGATCTTGAAATAGGCATTGAAAGCCATGTATCAGTGTTTGCAGATGACACAAAACTTTGTAAAGTAATAAATGTGAGCAGGATATTGCTTTGTTGCAGAGAGATTTGGATAGATTGGGGTACTGGGCACTAAAATGGCAGATTAAATTTAACATAGAGAAATGCAAAGTTATGCACTTCGGGGTTAAGAATGCACAAGCAACTTACACACTAAATGGTAGTGAATTAGGGGATAACCACACACGAGAAGGATTTGGGCATTGTTATAGACAACAAATTAGGCAGCAATATGCAATGTCAATCTGCAGTTGCTAAGGCCAGTAAGATTTTGTCATGTATAAATAGGGGCATAAATTCTCGGGATGAAAATATAATTTTGCCTCTGTATAAATCGCTGGTAAGACCACACCTTGAATATGCTGTGCAATTTTGGGCGCCTGTTCTAAAGAAGGATATCATGGCACTGGAGAGGGTCCAGAGACGAGCTACAAAATTGATAAAAGGAATGGAGCATTTTAGTTATGAAGAAAGGTTACAAAAATTAAATCTGTTTAGTTTGGAAAAACGGCGCCTGAGAGGGGATATGATAACTTTATACAAATATATTCGGGGCCAGTACAAACCTTTATCTGGAAATCTATTCATAAACAGGGTTATACATAGGACACGAGGTCACACATTTAGGCTGGAAGAAAGGAGATTTCATCTAAGGCAAAGAAAAGGTTTTTTTACAGTAAGAACAATAAGGATATGGAATTCTCTGCCTGAAGAGGTGGTTTTGTCAGAGTCCATACAGATGTTTAAACTGAAATTGGATAAATACTTACAAAAACATAACATACAGGGATATAATTTCTAATTAGTGGGGTAATAGCTGATTGATCCAAGGAGACATCTGACTGCTATTTTGGGGTCAAGAAGGAATTTTTTTCCTAGTTTGTGGCAAAATTGGAAGTGCTTCAGACCAGGTTTTTTGCCTTCTTTTGGATCAACAGCAACAACATTTCTGAGGAAGGCTGAACTTGATGGACGCAAGTCTCTTTTCAGCTATGTAACTATGTAACTATATGTAACTATGACTGGTCCTAAGACCCTGTCACCCTCCCACCCCACCCCCCACCTTTCTTCCTTTCTGTACCCCAATAACCCCCCCTTTCTTTTTGTTATAACTTGAAAACAATAAAAACCTTGAATTAAAAAAAAAAAAAAGCCACCCAAGACAAGCTGATGGATATAGCAAGCTCGCTTATCCAGATTTTTATAATCGCTGGCGAGGCGCTAGCAGGTGGCAATTTTGATGCACACATGGTGCGTTAATGGGCACAAACAGCATACAGGCCTCAACCAGCAGACTCATGGAATTCAGGCAATACCCGTTTCTACCACAAGCAGTTCTTTCCCTCTAGACGTTCCACCAGAGGACGTGGATATGCTTCCCTCCAGGGCCGCACTGCTTCAGGTAATCAACTCAAGTTCCTATTGCAGGCCTTTTTTTCCAACAGTGGTCTCTATTAACTCAGGATCCATGGATCTTTCAAACTGTATCTGGTTTCCATATAGATTTTGCAAATGACCCTCTACAGGAGTCTCCCCCTCCACCTCTGTACATGTCTCAAGAGGACAATGCGACCTTGGAGGCCACGCTAAACGACCTTGTCACCAACGGCGCTATAGAACGTTCTCTGTCCCCTCACAGACTCATAAGCAACATATTTCTGGTCTGAAAACAGTCAGGAGACTTTTGACCAGTTATCAACCTGAAAGACCTAAGCAATTTTATTGTTTACCAACATTTCAAAATGGAGGGTATCCACCTTCTTTGAGACCTACTCTGCGAGGGAGACTGGTTCTCCCGTTTGGATTTGACAGATGCTTACCTCATGGTTCCTATAACACCTGTTATGCTTACCTCACAGTTCCTATAACTGTTTCCTACAGTTCAGATGGCATCAAGACTTATGGCAGTTCTCATGCCTCCCCTTCGGACTCTGTTCCGCACCTTGGTGTTTCACCAAGCTGATGAAACCGGTCATGGCCTTGCTACGCTCTCAGGGGATTCGCTTCATCATATATCTGGACGATATCCTCCTTATGGCTCAGGACCCAGGCACTCTACGCCTCCATACAGACATGACCACAGCTCTGTTAAAAAACTTGGGGTTCGTGATCAATGTCCAAAAATCCGTCCTCACCCCGTCTCAGATGCTTCAATTCCTTCGATTCCAAATAGATTCCATTTTGGCTATCCTACAACTTCCTTCAGTAAAGATCAAGAACATCAAAAAAGACATCAGAAAAATTCTAGCCTCTTCGACTATCCGTCTTCGCAACTTAGCTCGCATAATCAGACTACTCTCCACCTCGATTCAGGCGACCTTCCCAGCTCCTTTACATTACGGAGCAATGCAATGTCTGAAGACTCGCTCTTTACGTCACTCTGCATCTTACGATCAACAGATCTCCTTGACAGACAAAGTCCGACTAGAACTGAATTGGTGGCTACACCATATGGATGCATGGAACGGGAGAACGATCTTCGGATCGCAGTCAGATTACATCCTAGAATCAGACGCCAGTTTTCTGGGCTGTGGTGCATCATGCGCAAATCTCTCTACCGGAGGTCCTTGGTCCCCATCAGAACGGGCATTGCACATCAATTACCTCGAGTTGATTGCCTGTTCCTTTGCGATTCACAGTTTCGCAAAGGACTCTTACAATTGTTCCCTAGTGCTGAGAATGGACAACATCTCAGCTGTTCAATACGTGACTTGCCTAGGGGGATCCCGTTCCAAAATGCTCTCAGACCTCAAAAAAGAATTATACCAATTTTGTCTAGACAGAAACATCTCCCTTCGAGCAGAGTATCTACCTGGTTCCGACAACTTAGTCGCAGATTGGTTCTCTCGACACTGGAGAGACTCCAGCGACAATTGGACCCACACGTTTTTTACCGTCTACATCTTCTTCGGGGTCCATTCAACCTCGACCTATTTGCGTCTCGTCTGAATCGACAGACGGATGCTTTTTTCAGTTGGTTGTCGGATCCGACCTCTCTGGCAGTAGACGACTTCCTTCAATCTTGGCCAATGACCGGAGCTTATGCCTTCCCTCCGTTCTCCATGATCCTTCGCACTCTCCATCATCTCAGGACTCAGGGGACTACAATAACACTGCTGACCCCTTTGTGGCGTACCCAACCATGGTTCCCCAATCTCTTGGAGATGTCGGTGGATTATCCACTACTGCTACCTGCCACGCACGATCTTCTCAAAGATCCCGCAGGCAACTTTCACCCTCTTGCGTTGCAGGGTCATCTCCAGCTAGTGGCCTGGACTGTTTCAGGGGAACCTGGAATGCCACAGGACTTTCAGAGACTGCTAGAGAACTCTTTTGGGACTCATGGGCCCCCGTGATTAGACGCTCTTAGCTCTCAGCCTGGCGAGTTTGGAATCGCTGGTGCTTGGAAAGTGGTATTGATCCCGTTTCATCTTCTTTGATTAACGTTATGAACTTTCTGTCCTCTCTTTTTGATCAAGGTAAATCCTACAGATCCATTAATGTGTTTAGTTCAGCAATTTCGGCAGCTCATGGCCCCATTGATAATACAGCAATAGGTAAACACCCCTCCATCTGTAGACTGTTGCGTGGCATTCGTCTTGCTCGACCTCCTGTCCCAAAATATTCTCATTTTTGGGATGTTGCTCTTGTTTTGTCCTTCCTGGAGACTTGGCCACCCAACGAAGCACACTCTCTATGACAACTGTCAGCCAAATTAGCTCTTCTTCTCTGCTTAGTTTCTTTTAGAAGAGTGTCTGATATTCAGGCATTTGACTTTCACACTACGTTTCAACATTTCTCGCCGCACTAAAACTAATTCCTTAACGATTACTTACCCTTATTTTTCTGACAGACCATCGCTCTGCATTGCTCGTTGTGTCCAACACTACGTCGCCTCTACATCACTTCTACGTACCCCTGTTTATCTCATATGTGCAACCACACAAGCCAGTGTCTTGTCCCACGATTGCCCGCTGGATTAAATGGCTTCTCGATTTAGCGTGCATAGATTCCTCTTTTGGAGCTCATTCTGTCAGAGGTGCCTTTATGGCTGGGGGATCCCTTGCAGACATCCTAAAATGCGCTGATTGGTCTAGAGAATCTACTTTCCGTACCTTTTATTTTCGACAATCGTCCCATGCTTTTTTCTCTTTTCTTTCCACACTTTAAAACAGCAAATATGAAGCCTCCTGTCTTGCCATAAAATTCAGGATTATTCTAGCTTTAGTGACTGAATAATCTAAATTTTATTAAAGACAGGAGGCAAATATTTTCCCACCCTTTTGGTATCCCACCCCAGATTTTTTTTCAGGTAACATATACTCTTTCTAGGTTTCTTGTGAGACTTTATATATCTGACTGTTTTAGATTTTGCAATAGTTTATACTCGTAATATCCAGGGGGTAGATCTGTGTATGTAGATATCTTGCGGACACCCAGTCCAAGTGACTGATCTTTCTTTGTCTTTTAGTGTGAAGTTTCTCTGCATGAGCCACGAAGACTACGTTACATTGGTCTCTAGTATCGGCTGCGTTCTGGTTTACATGGTTGATGGATTACTCAAGTTTACACGGTTGACTACACTTATGATCGGCTGCATCAGAAAGAGGATTTGGGAGGAGCCTGACAGACTGTTATGTTCTAATATGTGTCCTGATTGGTTGATTTTTTCTCTAAATGTTTAACTATTTCTTTGCTGCTGGTAGGTTCAGTAAAGAAGGTAAAAGCAAATATTTGCCTCCTGTCTTTAATAAAATTTAGATTATTCAGTCACTAAAGCTAGAATAATCCCGAATTATTATGTAAGACTATTACAGCCAATAAGATAAAACTTATTACAAATGTTAACAGGAAACTAGAGATTATCGAGCACCCTGACGAAGCACACTTACAATTTAAAGCATTCAAATTCACTCTTAATTTTTCTCATGTCTACCCGCTCAATCTTTACTGCCCACTCATCATCACCATGTTACTTAAGAGTAGAATTTGAATTACATAAAGAAGGAAATTAAAATTATATTGTTTGGTCAAGTTGTATTACTTGGATACAAACAACATTCAAAAGGAACTGCACTCATTTCATTTGAGCAAAAATTGGGTGCAACCAGGCCAGGGGCTAGCACAAAACCCCAAACTGTTTAATCCAGGGTAGAAGAAACAGGTCCAGGCACTTCAAAGCTCAGTGAAGCACATTTATTTAGAACAAAGTATCCCATCAACGTTTCGACCCTATAGTGTGTATTTGTCAAAAACCCAAAGATGCAGTGCAGGGTTGAAACAGTGCTGGAATACTTTGCTCTAAATAAATGTACCTCAATGATATTTGAAGTGTCTGGATCTTTTTCTTCTACCTTGGATTAAATTGTAATATTTGGTCACTTTTTATGCTTTGCTTGTTTTATATTGTTTGGTAATTTTTTGGCTTAAATTTTTCACATAAGCTGTAATGGGCTGAATACCCTCCTAATTGTAAAAATTGATATCATAGGTAATATACTCAAGAACAGTACTTACTTTCTTGTGGAACAAATGGAAGGAGCTTAGATTCTACTTTCACTGGAATAGGTTTGAATTGACACTTTCCAGGTGGAGCTCTTCTGCAAATTGATTACAAAGAAAACAAACTGTACAGATAAAATGTAAAAAGTAGATCAATTTTGAAAACCTAGATGTGTTTTACTGAGGGTCACAGATCAAGGAGCAGATTTATCAACAAATATACCTTTACAGCGTTTGTACACTATATAGACAGACTGAAAGATGATGAATGCATTCACGTGTTTAACATAAGTTTTCGTCACTTTTAATCATTAATTTTAAAGCACACAACATAACAACAAAAAGCTGACAAAGTCTCTCCCTTCTTGCAGAAATATACCGGCAACAGAGTTGGGGCTGAATTAATATCAGTAAATGTGATTAGAACCTTCTGCTTGGGAGTGTGATTTCCCTCAAAACTTCAGTTAACTGGGAGCTGATCTAAGACAGATAGAATAGGAAGTAATAATGGAGCCACACCACCAAGTAGTTTGCAGATGGAAATCTTTTATATGACTGCATTTCGACCCCAAAAACACAGGGTCTTTGTCAAGACTTGGCTTGGATTGACAAAGTGCCTGGATGTGGATCAAAACATTGTCAAACTAATATGGTAAATAAAAGATCTCCATTTGCAAACTACTTGAAGTTGCAGCTCCATTTGTACTTTCTATTATATAATTTGAAAGTTCGGGAGGATATATTGGGAACCTGCACCCAGGTGTGGTGTTAGGAGTACTGGCATAAGACAGATGCAAATCTAGCCCTAACTAAAATAAGTAGGATTTACAAAGTGCTCTGTTTATAAATTACTAACCTTGAAGGATCTACAAGTTTGTATATTGTTCCTCGTGGGTCCAGTGAACTTGGCTGGGATGTGGACAAGAAAAACAGTTCCCCTTGAAACAAAATAAGAAATTGAAATTAACATAAGATAAAGTATTTCAGCAGCTATTCAGCTTCTCATAATTACAGTGTCATAAAGTTCCTCCTCTAAAATGATCTATATTAATTAAAGGGGTAATACACTGAACAAAATTATAAACGCAACACTTTTGTTTTTTCCCCCATTTTTCATGAGCTGAACTCAAAGATCTAAGACTTTTTCTATGTACACAAAAGGCCTATTTCTCTCAAATATTGTTCACAAATCTGTCTAAATCTGTGTTAGTGAGCACTTCTCCTTTGCCGAGATAATGCATCCACCTCACAGGTGTGGCATATCAAGATGCTAAATAGACAGCATTATTATTGCACAGGTGTGCCTTAGGCTGGCAATAAAACACAATAAATGGCCACTCTAAAATGTGCAGTTTTACTGTATTGTGAGAGTCCAGTGGGGTGAGGGGGGCAAAAACCAGTCAGTATCTGGTGTGACCACTATTTGCCTCACGCAGTGCAACACATCTCCTTCGCATAGAGTTGATCAGGTTGTTGATTGTGGCCTGTGGAATGTTGGTCCACTCCTCTTCAATGGCTGTGGGAAGTTGCTGGATATTGGCAGGACCTGGAACACGCTGTTGTATACGCCGATCCAGAGCATCCCAAACATGCTCAATGGGATACATGTCCGGTGAGTATGCTGGCCATGCAAGAACTCGGATGTTTTGAGCTTCCAAGAATTGTGTACAGATACTTGCAACATGGGGCTATGCATTATCATGCTGCAGCATGAGGTCATGGTTGTGGATGAATGGCACAACAATGGGCCTCAGGATCTTGTCACGGTATCTCTGTGCATTCTGTGCTTTGCTGAGATAATCCATCCACCTCACAGGTGTGGCATGTCAAGATGATGATTAGACAGCATGATTATTGCAAAGGTGTGCCTTAGGCTGGCCACAATAAAAGGCCACTCTAAAATGTGCAGATCTTCTACAAATATGGGCAAAATAATGTAAAATTCACTTTACTTTTTGGGGAATTTCAAAATGTGTGTGTGTGTGTGTGTGTGTGTGCGTGCGTGTGTCTATAGAGTAGAGTCTAGAGTAGAGTCTAGCATCCCACTACCTTTAAACTTCACCACCTGTCATTGCTTTAGGGTACAATAACTGCAGCTGTAAAAAAAATGTTGTCCTATCATGTATATAATAATATAAGATATTCCTGTGTGTGTTTATGCCAGTAGATGCAAATAAAAACCTGTTCTTTGACAATTTAAGGTTTGATGATAGGAAAATGAATAGGTAATAAAAAAAAAAGTTCCATGTAAATATTGTGTCATAAAAGTCCTCACTCATTTAGAACATAACTTTATGATTGGAATCCACATCAGCTACTTTTGTAGGTTGTCCGTTCCATAAAATATACTGCCCTCATTCTAAATAAGTATTGATAGATTTCCATGATTCTAGTAGCTGGTGCCACAGATCTAAGTGTGAAAGCTAAAACAGAAAGATCATTTTACATTCTTTCAAGGTCAATTGCACATTCTTTCAAGGTCAGTTCTGCCAAAACCTTCCCAAGCATCTAAAGCAGCATTGGATAAGGAACAACACAATATGTTAATTCTCTTCTCTTTCCGGAAAGGCTATGTTGTACTATTAAATCTGGTTTTCAATTTGCAATGCCTTTCTGGGCTATCATGATCAGTCTTGTAGCTTTTACATTCTTCATAATCCTAATTTACGGGCCATACCTGCTTCATTCTCTGCAAAAGAGATAATAAAATTGCTGTGTGTGTTGATAAGGCCTGGAAAAGCACAAGTTGTAGAATCGCCCATACAAATGTCTTGCTTCTTCCATTCTTTTGTTTTTTCATCTTCCTGCAAAGCCATGAGCCGGCTACATAAGAAAAAAATAAAGAAAATGTGCAATTTAATATATTTGTTGGGATGTATTTTTTTGTAAAATGAATAAATGAACATTAGGCACTGGTAACAAATATTAATTTAACAAGCTGAGTACTATATACATTAATCAGCTGCAATGTTAAAACCTCTGATATGTGAAGTGAATAATATTGATTATATAATTCCAATGACTTCTGCCAACGGGTGGGATGTATTAAACAGCAAGTGAACAGTCAGTTCTTGAATTTTATGTGTTGGAAGCAGGAAAAATGGGCAAGCAAAAAGATCGGAGTGACTTTGACAAGGGCCAAATAGTAATGGCTAGACGCTAGGTGAGAGAATCTCCAAAATGACAACTCTTGTGGGGTGCAGTAGTTAGTACCTACTTAATGTGGTGCGGGGAAGAACAACCAGTGAACCAGCATTATGGTCATGGGGGACTAAGGCTCATTGCTGCAAGTGGGGAACAAAAGCTAGCCACTCTGGTCCAATCACACTACCAAGAGCTACTTTATTTCAAATTGCTGGAAAAAATGAATGTTGGCCATGTTATAAAGGTGTCAGAACACAGTGCATCACAGTTTCCTGCGCATTTCCTCTCCCACTGAAAGCACCTTCAATGGTATCGAGAGCATCAGAGCTGGAGCATTGAACAGTGGAAGAAGATTGCCTAATCTTTTGAATCATGTTTTCTTTTAGTTTGGGTGGATGACCAGGTGCATGTTCATCATTTACCTGGGAAAGAGATGGCAGCAGGATGCAAAAACCAGTCAGTATCCACATTAAGTAGGTACTAACTACTGCACCCCACAAGAGTTGTCATTTTGGAGATTCTCTCACCTAGCGTCTAGCCATTACTATTTGGCCCTTGTCAAAGTCACTCCGATCTTTTTGCTTGCCCATTTTTCCTGCTTCCAACACATAAAATGTGCATTCAAAATGCCATCCATAAAATGCACCTGTGTTCATTGTCCATAACATACGCCTGCCCATACCATAACCCCACCGTCACCATGGGCCACTCAATCCACAATGTTGACATCAGCAAACCACTCACCCACACGTCGCCATGCACGCTCTCTGCCATCTGCCCTGTACAGTGAAAACCATGATTTATCCGTGAAGAGAACACCTCTCCAAAGTGCCAGATGCCATCGAATTTGAGCATTTGTCCACTCAAGTTGGTTACGACGACGAACTGCAGTCTGGTTGAGACCCCGATGAGGATGACGAGCATGCAGATGAGCTTCCCTGAGATGGTTTCTGACAGTATGTGCAGAAATTCTTTGGTTATGCAAACCGATTGTTGCATCAGTTGTCTGGGTGGCTGGTCTCAGACGATCTTGGAGGTGAAGGTACTGGATGTGGAGGTCCTGGGTTGGTGTGGTAACACGTGGTCTACGGTTGTAAGGCCGGTTGGATGTACTGCCAAATTCTCTGAAACCCCTTTGAAGAGAGCATATGGTAGAGAAATGAACATTCAATTCACGGGCAACAGCTCTGGTAGACATTCCTGTAGTCAGCATGCCAATTGCACGCTCCCTCAAAACTTGTGCGGTGTGATAAAACTGCACATTTTAGAGTGGCCTTTTATGTGGCCAGCCTAAGGCACACCAGTGCAATAATCATGCTGTCTAATCAGCATCTTGATATGCCACAACTGTGAGGTGGATGAATTATCTCGGCAAAGGAGAAGTGCTCACTAACACAAATCTAGACAGTTTTGTGAACAATATTTGAGAGAAATAGGCCTTTTGTGTACATAGAAAAAAGTTTTAGATCTTTGAATTCAACTCATGAAAAATGGGGACAAAAACAAGAGTTACATGTATAATTTTGTTCAGTGTATATATATATAACTAGAAAGAAGAAAAGGAAGAGGGGATGAAAAAATCACGCCCTCTACCTATAAAGGTTACAGGAGGTATAAGGGGCCTAACCCCAGTTACTTATATCAATTAGAAAAAGAATGGGGCGGAAGAACCAAACACAACTAGTGAATGGAAATGCCGATCCATAGAAAAATACCTCCTAATATCAAGTGTCACATAAAAATGAATGAAAATCTTTATTAAGTACGAAAATGTGAAAAAATAAGTGCCAACACCCGTTAAAAACCTGGGTACAATTTAACTCTAAATAGTTACAATTATCGAGGAGATGTAGTTGAATGCAATAGTCTTGTACGCACAGACAAAAATAAGGATCCCTCAATACAC